ACATATATGGCATTTTTGGGCAATTTTATTATGTTTTGCAGACCCCCTCAAACATTTTAAGCTATCATCGAGCTGTACGTAACAATTATTTATGGAGATATGGCCAAGTGAATCTAGTCCAACATGGCCCCATGCAGCTGGTTGTTGGCCACATTGGAAATTACCACCAGGGGGGTAATGGACGAAATCTGTGATGGCACTATAGCCAAAAATAATTATTTAGACATGTCCCCAATCTTTAATATTTTCCTTAAAGGGATACCTCAGGATTTCGGCAATGAAGCCCTTTATCTACTTCCCCAGAGTCAGATGAACTCGTGGATAGCATTTTCATGTCTCTGTGTGCAGTTTGAAGGAAATTGCTAAGTAGTGCTAAGGCAATTTGCTAGCTAGCATTAGCACAATGACTGGAAGTCTATTGGTATCTGCTAGCATCATTGTGCTAACACTAGGTAGCATTGGCTCACTAAACTACCTCTAACTTCATTCATACTGGACAGAGATACATAAAAATGGTATCCACAATTTCATCTAACTCTGGGGGAAGTAGATAAAGGGCATCATCATTTATCCACATATGCTGAGCACTTGTTGGCTGCTTTTCCTTCACTCTGCGGTCAGACTCATCCCAAACCATCTCAATTTGGTTGAGGTTGGGGGATTGTGGAGGCCAGGTCAACTGATGCAGCACTCCATCACTCTCCTTTTTGGTAAAATAGCCCTTACACAGACTGGATGTGTGTTGGGTCATTGTCCTGTTGAAAACAAATGATAGTCCCACTAAGCCCAAACCAGATGGGATGGCGTATCGCTACAGAATGCTGTGGTAGCCATGCTGGTTAAGTGTGCCTTGAATTCTAAATAAATCACAGACAGTGTCACCAGCAAAGCACCCCCACACCATAACACCTCCTCCTCTGTGCTTTACGGTTGGAAATACACATGTGGAGATCCTCCGTTCACCCACACCGCGTCTCACAAAGACACGGCGGTTTAAACCAAGAATCTCCAATTTGGACTCCAGACCAAAGGAAACATTTCCACCGGTCTAATGTCCATTGCTCGTGTTTCTTGGCCCAAGCAAGTCTCTTCTTCTTATTGGTATCCTTTAGTAGTGGTTTCTTTGCAGCAATTCGACCATGAAGGCCTGATTCACACAGTCTCATCTGAACAGTTGATGTTGAGATGTGTCTGTTACTTGAACTCTGTGAAACATTTATTTGGGCTGGTAACTCTAATGAACTTATCCTCTGCAGCAGAGGTAACTCTGGGTCTTCCATTCCTGTGGTGGTCCTCGTGAGAGCCAGTTTCATCATAGCGCTTGATTATTTTTGCGACTGCACTTGAAGAAACTTTCAAAGTTATTAAAATGTTTCGTATTGACTGACCTTCATGTCTTAAAGTAATGATGGACTGTCATTTGTCTTTGCTTATTTGAGCTGTTCTTGCCATTATATGGACTTGGTCTTTTACCAAATAGGGCTATCTTCTGTATACCCCCCCCCCCCCCCCCCCCTTCCTTATCACAACACAACTGATTGGCTCAAATGCATTAAGAAGGAAATAAATTCCACAAATTAATTTTTAAGAAGGCACACCTGTTAATTGAAATGCATTCCAGGTGACTACCTCATGAAGCTGGTTGAGAGAATGCCAAGAGTGTGCAAAGCTGTCATAAAGGCAGTGTGGCTATTTGAAGAATCTCAAATATAAAATATATTTGTTTAACACTTTTTTGGTTACTACATGATTCCATATGTGTTTTTTCATAGTTTTGATGTCTTCACTATTATTCTACAATGTAGAAAATAGTAAAAATAAAGAAAAACCCTTGAATGAGTAGGTGTGTCGAAACTTTTGACATATATATATACACACACACACACACACACACACATAGTGTATAGTGCCGTGAAAAGGTATTTGCCCCCTTTCTGATTTTCTCTGTTTTAGCATATTTGTATTCCTGAATGTTATGACATTTTCAACCAAAGCCTAATATTAGATAAAGTGATCCTGAGTTTACAAATAACAAAAAAAATGGATACTTATTTTATTTATTTAATTAAACAAAGTTTTGCAACACCTACTTCCCCTGTGTATAAAAGGAATTGTGAAAAAGTAAAAGCATCCCCAAACCATCACACTACCACCACTATGCTTGACCTTTGGTATAAGGTTCTTCCTGTGGAATGCAGTGTTTAGTGTTCGCCAGATATAAATGGGACCCATCTCATCCAAAACGTTGACTCAAGTTTGCAAAAAAAAGCACCTGGATGATCATCAAGACTCTTGGAAGAAAGTTCAATGGACAGATGAGTCAAAAGTAAAACTCTTTGGATAACATGGGTCCCATTATGCCTGGCAAAGACCAAACACTGCATTCCACAGTAAGAACCTTATTCCAACGGTCAAGCATGGTGGTGGTAGTGTGATGGTTTGCTGCCTCCGGACCTGGACGACTTGCCTTAATAGAAAGAACCATCTATTCTGCTCTGTATCAGATAATTCAACAGGAGAATGTCAGGCCATCCACCTGTGAGCTGAAGCTGAAGCGCAGCTGGGTCAAGCAGGAAGACAATGATCAAAAACACACAATAAAGTCTACATGAAAATGGGTAAAAAGCAACACATTTGAAGTTTTGGAATGGCCTCGTCAAAGTCCAGACCTAATCCCAATTATGTTGTCGCAGGACTTGAAATTAGCAGTTCATGCTTGAAAACCCACAAATGTCGCTGAGTTAAAGCAGTTCTGCATGGAAGAGCGGGTCTTAATTGGGGAGGACAGGCTCATGGTAATGGCTGGAGCGGAATAGGTGGAATGCATCACATACAACAAACATGGTTTCCATATGTTTGATGCCATTCCATTTGCTCCGTTCCAGCCATTATGAGCCGTGATGCCATTCCATTTGCTCCGTTCCAGCCATTATGAGCCGTCCTCCCCTCAGCAGCCTCCACTGAGATATATTATAGTTGCATATAGACATTATGGACAGTATATGAATAGTAAAGTTGTGTACAGCAGTAGTTATATAGGATGAGTCATGACTAGAATACAGTATATACATATAAAGTCTGTAAAACAGTATGTAAACATTATTCAAGTGAATAGTGTTCAATGGCTCTATGTACATAGGGCAAAGCGGTCTCTAAGGTGCAGTATCGGGTGGTAGCCGACTAATAATAGTGACTAATGTTCAAGGCAAGGTACTGGGCAAAGGCCGGCTAGTGGTAACTATTTAACACTCTGATGGCCTGGAGATAGAAGCTGTTGATCAGTCTCTCGTCCCAGCTTTGATGCACCTGTACTGTCTTCTCCTAAATGGTAGCAGGGTGAACAGGCCATGGCTCAGGTGGCTGAGGTCTTGGATCTTTTTGGCCTTTCTGTGACAATGGGTGCTGTAAATGTCCTGGAGGGCTGGCAGTGTGCCCCTGATGATGCGTTGGGCTGACAGCACCACCCTCTGGAGAGCCCTGCGGTTGCGGACGGTGCAATTGCTGTACCAGGCTGTGATACAGCCTGACAGCATACTCTCAATGGTGCATCTTTAGAAGTTCGTGAGGGTCTTAGGGGCCAAGACAAATTTCTTCAGCTTCCTGAGGTTGAAGAGGCGCTGTTGCACCTTCTTCGCCACACTGTCTGTGTGAAGAGACCATTTAAGGTAGTCTGTGATGTGCACGCCAAGGAACTTGAAGCTTTTGACCCTTTCCACCCACTGCGGCCCGTCGATGTGGATGGGGGCGTGCGTGGCCACACAGTTATGGGTGAACAGGGAGTACAGGAGGGTGCTTAGCACTCACCCCTGTTGGGCCCCCATGTTGAGGATCAGCATGGCGGAGGAGTTATTGCCGACATTCACCAGTTGGGGTCGGCCCGTCAGGAAGTCCAGGACCCAGTTGCACAGGGAGGGGTTCAAACCCAGGGCCCTGAGCTTAGTGATGAGCTTGGAGGGCACTATGGTTTTGAAGGCTGAGCTGTAGTCGATGAACAGCATTCTTACATAAGTATTTATCTTGTCCAGGTGGGATAGGGCAGTGTGCAGTGCAATCGCGATTGCATTGTCTGTGGATCTGTTGGGGCGGTATCCAAATTGTAGTGGGTCTAGGTTGTCGGGTAAGGTGGAGGTGATATGGTCCTTATTAACTAGCCTCTCAAAGCACTTCATGATGACAGAAGTGAGTGCTACGGGTGATAGTCATGTTGTGTTAGTTTTTTTGACATTTTTGTTTGTTTTGGTGTTCACTAGCGTTCAGCAGCGTTTTTCTTTGAGTTTGGTAGCTGAAGTCTACGCCCCTTCATTGGTGATTGGTCAACAGTAGGGATTCTTCAATGAAGTGTTTGTGGTCATTCAACGAGAGACGACCATGTTCATGCACATCTTTTTCACTTGAGTTATACTTCACCAAACATCTTAGTTAGATGACAAATTGTACGACTAAGACCTCCTCAGCAAAAATGTAAAAATTACAGATTTCTTGAGTTATCTTAGATTAATTCTGACTATTTTAAGGAATTGTACTTGCTGATTTGATTTGGCCACAGTGTCTGAAGACGGACAAACTGTAATATTGCCGCTTTTATTATTTTAAGGGATTTTAAGGGAGCATGCGAGCACAGACGTTCACTTCATCTCGACAAGTTCTGCTAGAAGCAACCTATGTATGCTGACGCCTTAAGCCTATGCAGACACTGAGGCACATGAAGAGACACTAAGCAGACGTTGCAGTTCAGTTTAATTGTTTATTGAAACCAGACATTTAATTAATTTCAAAGTATATCAATTTGGGCTTTTTAAAACAGTGAGTAGCCTAAATTAAGTTCCTCTTATGCATCTCTGATCTCATCTGTTCTTGCTCTCCACCTTCAAGCTGGAATTGCAACCCGCTCTTATTTTCTTTACATATTTTCCTCTCCTTTCCCTCTCATCCTTATCACTCAAGACATTTCTCCTCTCATCCCCCTTCCTGCGCTAGAAGATGCCGTTGCTCTAGTAACTTCATGAGTGTTGACATGATTGGCAGGTGTCCCTAACATGACAGTGCATGTGTCTGAGGTAGGCGGTGTTACTGTAGATAGGTTCATCTGTGGAAGGGATCATTTGACTCACATCAGATCAGTTAATCTCACTTCAAATCAGTTATATTACATTAGAAACAGTCAATATTAGGTTCCAGAGGTTTTCTTGGTCAGGTTACAAGGTCATGTGAAGCTCTGGGTCCTAGTCATTATGCAGTATACATCACTTAAAATAACATTGCAAATTGAAATACAATTTTGTCCCAAAAAAAGATTGTCAAAATAGTTTACCTGTGCTGGATCTTTGCCTCTTTCTCCATTGAAATGCAACCACAGCCAGCACACTACTAAGAAACACTGCTGAGCATCTACCCGCTGTCCTGATAATCCACAGTGTTACCCCTGTATCTCCCCCAACTGACACATCTGGGATGCTAGATGAAGTGTTGGTTGTAGTCACGTTCTGTGAACCTTAAAATCAAATAATAAATATTCTGCCCGCTAAAAAAGCTGTACACTAAAATATGCTGGGTTAAAAACAACCCAATTTGGATTATTTGGTAAATATTAGATAGAACACACGCTGGCCAATTTTGACCCAGACAGTTAGGTTGTTGGGATTACTCAAGCATGGGTTAATTTAACTATCAATTGGGTATTTTTTACAATCATGGTGGGTTGACCTAGCGGCTGGCTCTTTTTGAATGTAATCCTAGCAGAACTCATCTAGATAAAGTGAACATCTGTGCTCGCATTTCATCATTAAGACCTTTTGGAAATAATGTCTGGAGGGTGAAAATCCAGAGTATTATTTATATCACCTCCCCTGTCTGATATCTTGACTTTCTCTATGTCACATAATCTAAAAAGGTAGAAATGTCATGTTTTTGGTAATTAAAATGTACTGCGACTGGATAATCCCTGTCGTTTCCCCTGATTTAAATTTTATGTACACTAATTCTCTGTTTGAGAGAACGAGAGGTTTTACCTACTGTACATAACACAGCCCACATGGACATTTAATCATGTAGATAACATGGGTGGTGGAGCACGTAATGTCATTTATTTGGAACTGTTTCCCTGTATGTGGATGGCAGAAATATTCACACTTCATCATATTGTTGCACAACCTCTGCATTTAAAGCTACCATTCGGAAGAGGGCGTAAAAGAGCCTGGCTCATTTTCTTTTGTGGCTGGCAGTTGTCATGGACCAATTTGTCGCGTAAATTGCGACCTCTCCTATATACAATAAGTGGTGGGTTCTTAAATTCAGCTGGCAAAGTTGGGTGCAATGATAAAACATGCCAGTGTTTCTTGACAGAATCTCCCACTTTGCGCTAGTTCAAAGTATGTGTGGTGGTGAACCTTACAGTGTTCTTTAGCTCCAGTTTACATCCTGAAAATTCAAATCTCCCTTTTTTTCCTCCTGCATTTCACACATTCTTCTATAATATTAAGATTATTTATTACATTTTCTAATAAGGTATACCACCTTGTTGCATCCCAACAATGAGATTTACATAGGCTTTTAGGGGAACTCATACACTTCGGTAAGCCTCATTGTAGCTAAAAAAATGATAATGTTTGATAAATATACAACAGAACAGATGAACAGCAATGACATGCCCCTACTAAACTACACCTCCAGTCTTCTTATCTGACCCACTGGGTCATATTTCAATAACCCAGCACTAATAACCCAGCACCCAGTATCAATAGCCAAACAGTTTTTAAAGAAAACAACCAAACTAAGTGCCTGCAACCCAGCAGTTGGATCAACCAAACAACCCAGTATTTTTTAGAGTATACCTAAAACTTACAATTTTTACCCTAAACTGACAATAAAGCTTTTGAACTTGAGCACTTTGTAAATTATTTAAGGGGCAGACAGCATCCAGATCATACTGAAGGGGAAATTAGGGAAATTAGGACTCAGATTCTGTCTGTTCCTACAAATGACTTGGAGCTGAAAATAGCCTCAGAAAATAAAAAAATAAACTGCTTTTACCTGAGATGACACTGACAGGTGGGTGTGATTCCCTCTCCCCCAGCCTCAGCACATTCAGAGTAACAGTGTATGTCTGGATGGTTCTGCCTGTGGAAACCACACTGCAGGTGTAATTCCCTGAATCTCCCTGACTGAGACCCTGGATACTCAGAGATCCATTATTCTGGATCTTCGTCCGGTTGTTAAAGATGGTTGTCTTGTGGTCACCATCTTCGTTTAATTGTACTTTAGCCAGCAGCTTATTTTTTCCGGGTTGGCTGTATCTCCATTCAACCTGACTTTGCGGTTCAATCTGCTCACTAGGTAAGGTCAAAATGATGGACTGACCCTCAATGGCCGTCCTTGTCTCAGCCACACCCAACACCTCTGGGATCTCTGTATGGAGGAAGGAGGAGATGTTTATATTAGTGGAAATTGAAAGTAAATAGGTCATCGTAAGACAATCAATCCATTTTTCTTACCTATGGAGAGGAGCTGGAGAGTGAGGAAGGCTATGGTATGATGGGGCTTCATTTGTCCCTGAAGCTGGTCCGATGAAGTCTGTGTCAGCTAGGTAGGACTGTTTCCTCTCTCAATCATACTGTTTTACGATGCACTATAGCCTTGTATCTCTCTCTCTCCCTCTTCTCTCTCACCTCAGTGCTACCATGGGTTTTTCTCTTTTACATAAAACCATACGCTTAACCACACGCTTAACCACAAGATGGTTGCTCTATTGTCATGGATACAGTGAGCACACACAGTCTCCCATTGCAGAGCCTCTATGGCAGAAATAGCAGAAGTGTACTTGAGCCTCCACTTCCTGTGTACAAGGGGTGAGGATGTGGTTACTGAAGTTAGGACCCTACACAGTATAGGGCTGATGACCATTGTCAGTGTGGTGAGCGTGAGCCAGAATTCAAGGGTTTTTCTTTTCTACATTGTAGAATAATAGTGAAGACATCAAAACTATGGAATAACACATATGGAATCATGTAGTAACCCAAAAAGTGTTAAGCAAATCAAAATATATTATATATTTGAGATTCTTCAAATAGCCACCCTTTGCCTTGATGACAGCTTTGCACACTCTTGGCATTCTCTCAACCAGCTTCATGAGGAATGCTTTTCCAACAGTCTTGAAGGAGTTCCCACATATCAATGGGTGTGTTTGAGCAGTAAGCCTAACGAAACCGACTGTAGATGAAAGTCGGCGAGTAAAGTCGGGGGAGGTGCATCTGCCGAAAGTCGGACACTGTAGTGGTTTTCCAACAGCAAGGCTCAGATCAACATGTCAGTGTCAACATAGCTGCTATTGTTTAGAAAGGTTTTTCTGTATAACATGTACAATTACATTTCACTTTCAATTGTAACCCCTGCTGCTTTAGAATCAAGGCAAAGTTGGTTTCTGTTTCAGTTACGTCTTTAGCCACGTTTGCGTGGGTCGAACAAAAACACCCTAATGATTGGTTGACAAATAGTGTCTCCCATAATGCAGGTGATGGCTGCATGGTGCAGTTGGCGACTTCATAGAAAAACTGCATGACCTTTGATCACATGATTTTTGTCAAGTTCATGCAGTCGATATTTAGTCGCAAGTCTGAACATATTTATAACCATAATGCAACACACTTTGAAAGCCGTGACCAACGATGGTCACCGACTTGACAAAAGTGATCAGTTCGAACATGCCAAGATGTAATTTGCAATTTGGGTGAACTATCCCTTTAAATTTGATAAACCATCCAAAGCAGAGATCCCTATATAATGATGAAATGCTCATGTCTCCGCCCTAGCAATGGGAGTCGTTGTCCCAACATAAACCCATAGAAACACATCGGGCTTATTTTGGACAGATTTTGGCGAGAGTGAAACCTCTCGCTTCGCCTCTTCCTCTCCGTCCAAAGGCATTTTGAACGTCTTATTATTGCGACCGAATGGGCTTTTCCCGCTGATTCTGATGACGTACACCACAGTCCAGCAAGTTGACAGGTCAACTACGCGTTTACTCAATGCAAATAACAACAAAATAACCACGTTTTCACGTGTTAGTTGATATTTGTATTTGTGTTAGACATGAACTGAATGTAGAATATTTGAACTGGAAGTATTCTATAGATGTTAGGCCGTGGTTTCCCGATCAAAATGTCGTTTCTTATGGATGCAGTGATCATGTTCACTTTACAGGTACAGTAAGAACTAACGTTTGTTAGATCTTGTTGCTTAGCCAGCTAGGATGTTTGAACATACACTGTCTGGTGCAAGTTATCTAACGGGAAAATCTTCCAACTCTCTTCCCAGGTGCTGTTCTTTGGCTTTGGGTGGCTGTTCTTCGTGCGGCAGCTGTTCAAAGACTATGAGGTATGTTATATTAGTTACTAACTACACAAATACTGCTACAGTGCCTTCAGAAAGTATTCATACCCCTTGACTTATTCCACATTTTATTGCGTTACAGCCTGAATTCAAAATTATACACACAATACCCCATAATGACAAAGTTGTGAAGATGTTTTTAGACATTTTAGCAAATGTATTGAAAATGAAATACATACTTCTCATTTACATAAGAATTCACATCCCTGAGTCAATAAATTGTAGAAGCACCTTTGGCAGCGATTACAGCTGTGAGTCTTTCTGGGTAAGTCTCTAAGAGCTTTCCAAACCTGGATTGTGCAATATTTGCCCATTATTCTTTTCAAAATTCTTCAAGCTCTGGCAAATTGGTTGTTGATCATTGCTAGACAACCATTTTCAGGTCTTGCCATAGATTTAAGTAGATTCAAGTCAAAACTGTAACTTGGCTACTCAGGAACATTCACTGTCTTCCGGTTAAGTAACTCCAGTGTAGATTTGGCTTTGTGTTTTAGGTTATTGTCCTTCTGAAAGTTGAATTCATCTCTCAGTGTCTGGTGGAAGCAGACAGAACCAGGTTTTCCTCTAGGATTTTGCCTGTGCTTAGCTCCATTCCGTTTCTTTTTTATCCTGAAAAACTACCCAGTCCTTAATGATTACAAGCAAACATAACACTTTGTTTTCAGGACAAAAGGGATATTCAATGTATGCTGTTTTTTTTTAACCCATCAACCAATAGGTGCCCTTCTTTGCGAGGCATTGGAAAACTTCCTGGTCTTTGTTTGAAATTCACTGCTCGACTGAGGGACCTTACAGATAATTGTATGTGTGGGGTACAGAGATGAGGTAGTCATGCAACTTATTATATGACTTGTTAAGAAACTTTTTACTCCTGGACTTATTTAGGCTTGCACTAACAAAAGGGTTGAATACTTATTGATGAAATACTTTTCATTTTAAATTAATTTGTAAAAAACTTCAATAAACATAATTCCACTTTGACATTATGGGGTATTGTGTGTAGGCCAGTGACACATTTTTTTTTTTTTTTATTCAGGCTATAACACAAGAAAATGTGGAAAATGACATTTAGCTAGTCTACTTGCCTTGCCTTTATTTCTGTAGCTAGATAGCTTGGTGTCATTCTGTTCCTGGACCTGCCTATAGGACCAGTTGTGAGAACCAGCATGAAACAGAAACCTACTGATACATCAGCATGGGTGCTTAGACAGTAGTGATCTTTTATGACCGCACCTACAGCGTAATCTAACCCTATGGTCATGTTCCGGTCAACAGGTACGGCAGTATGTGGTCCAGGTGGTGTTCTCCATCACCTTTGCCTTCTCCTGCACCATGTTTGAGCTTATCATCTTTGAGATACTGGGTGCCCTAGAAACTAGGTAAGTACAATGGTTTAATTCAATCTTTACGTTACCACGTTTATTCAGTATGATACTTTGCTCTCCGTCAACCAGCTAACATAGCTGATGTGTCATATACGTTCTTGTATCTGTGTCCCTCAGTTCCAGGTATTTCCACTGGAAGTTCAACCTGTATGTGATTCTACTGGTTCTAATTTTCGTGGTGCCATTTTATATCGGCTACTTTGTCGTCAGCAACATCCGCCTGTGTGAGTGACATTTTGTTCATATTAGTCCAGCTGTAGCATAAATTAATTGATCCTTGCATGTTTGATGCTACAGTGTATGATAGGTGCTCTCTTGCTGGGGATTCTCACATGCAGTCTCTGAAGTGTATATTGTGTGTTTGTGTTCAGTGCAGAGACAGAAGTTGCTCTTTGCCTGTGTCGTCTGGTTTACCTTCATGTATTTCTTCTGGAAGTTGGGGGACCCTTTCCCCATTCTCAGTCCCAAACACGGTGAGTGCCTACCCTCCCCCCTCTCCCTATTCTCACTCTCTCACTGCTGTGCAGGGCTCGACATTAACGCTTGCCCAGGACAAGTAAAAAAAATAGTCGGACAAGAAGAATATAGATTAAAAATGTCAGAATGGACAAGCTAGCTAATAAATGTCAGAGCAAACGTAACTAGCTATACAGCAGGGATCATCAACTAGATTATTGACTGGATGGTCGGGGGGCCAGACTGCAAGAAGCCTAAACAGATATAATATTTGACTAAATCAATCATTTCAAACCTTGATTACTTTTGGGAACACTGTCCTGCGTAGGGTGCCGTCTTTCGGATGAGACTTTAAAACGGGTGTCTCTGTGGTCATTCAAAATCCCATGGCGCATATTGTAAGAGTAGGGTTGTTCACCCCGGTGTCATGGCTAAATTCCCAACCTAGCCACATTCCATCATGGCCACCTAATCATCCCCCTCATTCCTAATTGGCATATGTCACTCCTCACCTCTCCACCTGATAGCTACTGTGTGGTGAAAACTCTGGTGCAAAAATGGTCACTCTGCGTCACTAAGGTGGATGCTACACTTTGTTGGTGGATGAGGTGAGTTTCCCCCAACTATGTAAAGCGCTTTGAGTACCTCAGTTGTTAGAAAAGTGCTATATAAATCCAATCAATTATTATTATTTGTATACGATCACATCTCTCTATTATGCTTGGGAATACTTGGGAACAGATTTCCAAAATGTAAATCATGGATGGGGGTCAGCATCTCCAATGTCAATATCATGTTCTATTAAGTTTGTACGTGTAGGTGTATCAGAAAACAACCCTGGAAATCTCAGAATCAAACCAACCATCTCTTTCCGCCCATCAACAGGTAGATGAGTAAGAAGGCTATCTAAAATCTCCAGTGTCTCTGAATTGTTCAATCTACCCTGCAGTATGCAATCGTCGGGTCCAGAAACATCTTCCTGCTCCTGCACAGACCTAGCATGACCAGAACCCAGGGAATAAACAGTATCAGCCAAAATAACTGCCTTACTGTCCTCTGTAGACCCCCCCTGTTCAGTCTCAGAGGAACGTGCATAATAGGGTTTTAACAAATTGACATGGCACAGTTGGTGTGCTTTCCTCCGTTCTGGAGTGGCAACTAGATAATTTTGCTCAGTGTACTGGCGCACCACTGTATATGGACCTTGAAACTTGGCTTGAAAAGGAGAACCAACAATTGGCAGCAGAGCCAGAACCTGATCACCTGGACTAAAGTGACAAGGCTCAGCTCGGCGATCATATATGCTCTTCATCCTGTCCTGTGAAGATGATAGCTTCTCTAAAGTCATTTCACCAGCGTCATACAAGCGTCGCCGAAAATCACACACATATGATAACAGGGACTGAGGAGGCTTGGGAGACTTCCAGTCATCCTGGAGAACAGATAAAAGCCCACGCACCCTATGTCCAAACACTAGGTCATTTGGACTCAAACCTGTGCTCTCCTGTGAAACCTCCCTAGCAGCTAACAGTAACCAAGGCAACACCTCCTCCCAATCCTTATCCATCTCAGTACAATAAGCTCTCAACAAAGACTTAAGTGTTTGATGGAAACGTTCCAGTGCTCCTTGACTTTGGGCATGATAGGCGCTAGACAAGTTATGTTTAATATGGAGTTGTTGGAGAACCTGACCAAAGAGATTAGAGGTGAAATTAGATCCTTGATCACTTTGAATGACCTTAGGGATTCCAAACAGTGAGAGAAACTGAGTCAAAGCTTTTAACACAGACTTAGTCGTGATAGACCGGAGAGGATAGGCAGCAGGAAACCTAGTGGTCTGACACATCACAGTCAACAAATAATTACTACCCTTTCTAGAACGAGGCAGAGGACCAACACAGTCAATAATCAGATACTCAAAAGGTTTACTGAGTACAGGAATAGGGAACAGTGGTACCGGCTTAATAGCTTGATTAGGTTTACCAGTTAATTGACAGGTGTGACAAGTTTTGATGAAGTCAGAAACATCCCTCTTTAGTCTTGGCTAACAGAAATGTCGTAATATGCGATTGTAGGTTTTTCTCACACCCATATGCCCAGCAACGTCGTTGTGAGAAGTTGTCAGCACCAACTCACAAAGCTTAACTGGTACCACAACCTGACTAATCGCCTCCCCTAGAAAACAACTACCATGAGACATCCACTTTCTCATCAGGACCTCCTCTTGGAGAAAATAGCCCTGTGCGACATCTCCCAACTGTTCCACAGGCACAGTTTGGTCCCGCAACTCTTCTAATGTAGGGTCAGTCCGTTGCGCCTCGATTAAATCGGAGCGGGATACAGATAACGGGATAACAGGGAAAACAGTAACAGACTTCTTTGTGGTATTCTCGTTAGCCAGTTCCGTGACCAAGACGTCATGGATCATAGAACGCGTCACTGCACACGCAGAGAACACCTCTGGGAAATTCTGCGCACTCTCATCAGGAATCCCTACAATTGAAGGCTTAGTGGAAACCACTAAAGATGGAAACACGATAGGCCACACACGCTCCCCAGCCAAGTTATTTCCAAGGATCACGTCAATACCCTCAATAGGCAATGAAGGACGCACCCCCACAACAACCTCACCTTTCACCAGTCCACAATCCAACATCAGTTTATGCAATGGAACTGACGGAGTGTTCAAACCTATTCCCCTAATTAGAAAACTATTCCCCGAATCAGTCTCCGCAGAGAAGGGTAACACAGATTCCAACACAAATGATTCAGAGGCACCTGTGTCTCTTAGGATCTTTACTGGCACTAGGTTCTTACTTCCTAACAGACACAAAACCCTCCGTAACGAAAGGTAAATAGTCGGGATCAATATAGCCTTTCACATGGCTCTGGGCATGAGACAATGCGTCAGGAGTGAACTGATGTAGAACAGGCGCTGCTAACGCTGTAGGACTCGATTTACCATAAGCACCTGTACTGAATTTACCCCTAGACCTAAGAATCGGACATTCATTTTTCCAATGAACTAATTCTTGACAGTAGTGACACACTTGACCAAAGTCAGTTTTACCACGGGTATCAGGCTCAACCCTAGTTGAATGAAACTCTGCCCGGGAACCGAAGTATCTCGGCGAGCGAGGCCCAAATCTCTGCGAACGCCCCCACTCACTCCGAATACGGGGTTCTGCAAAAACATTTTTGTGAGTCAACACATATTCATCTGCCAAAACCGCAGCTTCAGCAACAGTCTTTATTTTTCGTTCGTTAATGTACGTCGCTATACGATCAGGGATTGTGTCCTTAAATTGTTCTAACATAATCAGATCACACAGCCCTTGGAAAGTCATAACTGCAGAGGCGGAACACCAGCGATTAAACTGTGAAGATAATATTCGCGCAAACTCAACATGAGTCTGCTGATCATCCCTTTTTAAAGTTCTAAATCGTTGGCGGTAAGCCTCAGGGACCAATTCGTAACTCTGTAACACAGCCGTTTTAACCTTATCATAACTAACACTGTCGGCTACACTAAGAGCTGAATATGCTTCTTGCGCTTTACTAGTCAGCACACACTGCAACATCAAAGTGCGATCAGAATCAGGCCAACTCCTAGCGTTAGCAACACGCTCAAACAACGAAAAGAATGTCTCCGGGTCCTTTTCATTAAACTGGGGCAACAACCGTAAATTCCCAACAATATCAAATGTGTCTGGATTACGACCAAAAGAGGAACGACCCCTAGGTAACTCTGGATCACCTTCCCAGAGCAAACTCTCCCCTGAGAGCTTTCCTTCCCTAACCAACTCTAGTCGCTCTTGTTGCAGCTTGATTTTAGCACGCTCCATATCCTGTTTAAATTCCAATTCCCTTTCATATTTTACACGATCATGCTCCATTTTAGCTTGTTCATGCTCTAGCTGTAACAGAAGCAGTTCTTTCTGCTGTTCAAAAAGAAGACTACTAAGACTAACCGATGGAGCGGTCATTGTAACATATCGGGGAGACGACGAGTCCTCAGCAGAGGCTGCCCCAGTGGTAACTTCAAGAATACCACTCTCCATCAAATTGGCCTTCAATATTAACCTAATAGAATTTTTTTGACGTTTATCACTAATTTCAACCTTGTAGTGTTCAGCAACCTTCAACAGCTGTTCTTTAGTACATAATTCTAACAGTTCTTCTGATGGAAAGCGAATGAACTCGTCTACATTAGACGCCATAATCAGGAAAACATTTTTTTATATATATATATATCATAATAATCTCGCTCAACCCCTCTGCTGAGCACACCAGACACAAGAGAAATGACAATCACACCGAGCACCACAGAAGAGAGATGGGATATGGAGCTTCCCCAAAACCTACAATAACTCAACCCTAGTTTTCGTGCAGATTCGCGGTGGGTAATTACGCACTGTAGCCCGCTGGCAAGGAATTAAACCCCCCAGCACGCTGGTAGATTCCCCCAAGCCACGGATGTGCCCCCGAGACAACTGCTCAGTCCACAGACACCACACAAAAATAACAAACATTTAACCATGCCCAACGTATCCCACAACAAAACACGTCACTAAGCCTATCAGGGGAAAAAGCTATAGCTCCGGGTAGCAAATGTCACTACCCTACCCAATCTCCCACTGAGGTACACAGCCGATTGTACTCACCTCCGACCGATGTCCCAACAGCGAGTAGAGCAAGAGTTTCCAGGCTGGGCAGGGCCTGGAAACTAACCAATGTACTCTCTCCAACGCAGTACACAACCCAAAGGCAACCAATACTGGGCCTATCAAACTCAAACAAACTAACAAAATTTACAAAGAAAGACCCTACAGAATTGGACATTAACTCCACGTTCTCCCAAACACAACCAGTTCAAGATCCCGGACGAACCCCCACTTGTCACGAACCGGCTCAAGTTCGTAACAAAAGGGAGACACGTGGAGACAAGGAATACTCAGAGTATATATTTATTAACTAAAGTAAACTAAATCAAATAACAATGGTGTGTGTAATCAGTCATCAGTATTGTAAGTGAGTGTTTGCATGCATAAATGTAATATGGAAAGGTGTTGAGAGGTGCCAAAGCAACAACCAAAAAACCACAAAAATACCACAACCAAAGTCAAAGTATCTGCCTGGAGAGAGTCTTTCTCAATGAATGTGGAAGAGGTCCATGTATGTTGGGACACACCCGGCCCAGGTGTTTCCCATGTAGCTGACGACCCTCCCAACCCCCGCCCACCGGCATCCTAATAAGGAAACAAGAGCAAAGAGAGAATACGGCAGACAGAGTGGGAGGGTCGTCACACTTGGAGCTGATTCCCTGGTGTTTTTACAGTCTTTTATGTCCAACAGAAAACCTGTGGGGCCAAATAAAACCAGCCGCCGGTTGGAGAACCCTGCTATACAGCCTGATAATACCAGTGATGGTGTAGACTTAAATCAGCATGTTGTTTGTGCAACAGTATCTTCTAAATCAAAGAGGAATACACAAAGCATGAATATGTTAGCTACATGAAGTAGCTAAGACAAAACATTCAATGTAGCCAAAGATTATAGGGTCCCCTAAGAAACACTTATTAACACTGTGTTCCTACCCTGTCACAATAACTCCTGGCATTTTCATTCGTTGTCATGTCAAACAACACTGTATTCAAAGTGCCCACTATTATATTCTAACTATAGAATTAGAATAATCATTCAATTTCCATGATTCCAACAGTTCACCCAAGTGTTTTGCTCTAAATCGCTAGTCAAATCACAATTGCAACATTTGATTAAAAATAAGGCCTAGATTGTTTGCCCATATAGTGCAGCCCTACATTGCAGTGTGGAAATGACCTCAAATGAGTGCAGGAAATGCTTAAATGTATGAAAATGCTGAAAATGATTTATTGGTTGAAGTTGAATTTAACAGTATCAAACAATCAGAAATCACTTAGAATGTATGTGTTGCCACCCCAGGGTCACGCACCACTCATAAAGCAAATGTATAACTTTTTATTTATTTGGCTATTAGCATGAATTAATGTCTAACTATTAGTGTGTATTAATGTCATTGTCATGTCCGATGTCCTAAAATAACTTTTCACCGGCACTCGTGTATAACCGCAAATGGCCGACACGCAGTTGATACGCGTGCACAGTTGATGAAACCAATACTGCATACTCAGCTGCTCAATGGATTTTTTTTCTTTTCTTACAGTTGTGAAACTCTCTTAAGCGCTCAAAATTGGCTAGCATTCTCTTCTATTCAATATGGCCATGTAATTCTGACGAAGTTACAAAAATAGAATAGCCTAATTGACAAGTAACTCCTATGCTGTCAAGATCTCCCCTGAACACTGAATATTTTAACCTACATCATACCTAGCTACCTCGCCCACCTTAGCCATTTGATCCCTGGTTCATTGAATGAGGGAATTATTTTATAAAGACATAAAGTATTTGGTTGTAATTTTAATGTTGCAGCTTGGCCAACCATCCTCCATGTGATTCCAGGAGAGCTACTGGGTGTGCAGGCTTTTGCTTCAGCTCTGCTCGAACACACCACATTGGAAAAAATCAGCTGCTCAACAGGACCTTGACAAGCTGACTGGTGTGTTGAGCAGGGTTGGATCAAAAGCCTTCACACCCAGTAGCTCTCCAGATGGAGGGTTGACGGACCACATGTGTTTTATAAAGTAGCCTATCAGTGCAGTATTTTACTTTGTGGGGGGTTAAGTGCCTTGTTCAAGGCCACAACGGCAAGAGATACTGTATAATACATGGGATCAGAGACCAGCAGCCTTCCATTGTCAATACCAGTGATAATAATTAATGTTATTTTGTGAAGTGGTTCTTTGCCTCATACAACACCTTTTTGGCCTATGGTGTTACAGACCTTTTTTGGGGGGGAGCAAGTGACTTGAGCTTTCAGACAAGTAAAGAATCAGTCCTACTTGTACAAAGGACAAGTGGCAAAAAAAGTTAATGTCAAGCCCTGCTGTGTGTAAGGCCCTATTCCAAATCAACCCCTACTCATACGCACCTCTAATAGATCTGAAGGGACTGGATTGTAACAGTGATTGAACATAATGTTACATTCTATGCCTATCTCTGTACATCAGGTATCCTGTCCATTGAGCAGCTGATCAGTCGAGTTGGGGTCATAGGGGTCACTCTGATGGCTCTACTATCTGGCTTTGGTGCTGTCAACTGCCCTTACACCTACATGTCCTACTTCCTACGGTTAGTGTACTAAGTCTGTATAGTCAAAAACACCATTAAACAACTACGTTACCTACAATCCCGTTCTCTAACTCCCCATAGACACCTACTACTCTACTCCTCACATACAGTACTCTACTCGTCACTCCTAAATGACATACCCTTTTATTCACCAGTAAACTTAGTACCCTCGCTACATGTATGCTTGTGTGATGCATTACCTATTTATCTACAGGAATGTGACAGAGAGTGATATTCTTGTCTTGGAGAGGAGACTTCTTCAGACCATGGACATGATCGTCAGCAAGAAGAAACGGTGAGATTAAGAGAGAAAGATAATTAATGATATAATTTTTTTATACAGTGGGGAAAAAAAGTATTTAGTCAGCCACCAATTGTGCAAGTTCTCCCACTTAAAAAGATGAGAGGCCTGTAATTTTCATCATAGGTACACGTCAACTATGACAGACAAAATAAGAAAAAAAAATCCAGAAAATCACATTGTAGGATTTTTAATGAATTTATTTGCAAATTATGGTAGAAAATAAGTATTTGGTCACCTACAAACAAGCAAGATTTCTGGCTCTCACAGACCTGTAACTTCTTCTTTAAGAGGCTCCTCTGTCCTCCACTCGTTACCTGTATTAATGGCACCTGTTTGAACTTGTTACCAGTATAAAAGACACCTGTCCACAACCTCAAACAGTCACACTCCAAACTCCACTATGGCCAAGACCAAAGAGCTGTCAAAGGACACCAGAAACAAAATTGTAGACCTGCACCAGGCTGGTAAGACTGAATCTGCAATAGGTAAGCAGCTTGGTTTGAAGAAATCAACTGTGGGAACAATTATTAGGAAATGGAAGACATACAAGACCACTGATAATCTCCCTCGATCTGGGGCTCCACGCAAGATCTCACCCCGTGGGGTCAAAATGATCACAAGAACGGTGAGCAAAAATCCCAGAACCACACAGGGGGACCTAGTGAATGACCTGCAGAGAGCTGGGACCAAAGTAACAAAGCCTACCATCAGTAACACACTACGCCGCCAGGGACTCAAATCCTGCAGTGCCAGACGTGTCCCCCTGCTTAAGCCAGTACATGTCCAGGCCCGTCTGAAGTTTGCTAGAGTGCATTTGGATGATCCAGAAGAGGATTGGGAGAATGTCATATGGTCAGATGAAACCAAAATAGAACTTTTTGGTAAAAACTCAACTTGTCGTGTTTGGAGGACAAAGAATGCTGAGTTGCATCCAAAGGACACCATACCTACTGTGAAGCATGGGGGTGGAAACATCATGCTTTGGGGCTGTTTTTCTGCAAAGGGACCAGGACGACTGATCCGTGTAAAGGAAAGAATGAATGGGGCCATGTATCGTGAGATTTTGAGTGAAAACCTCCTTCCATCAGCAAGGGCATTGAAGATGAAACGTGGCTGGGTCTTTCAGCATGACAATGATCCCAAACACACCGCCCGGGCAACGAAGGAGTGGCTTCGTAAGAAGCATTTCAAGGTCCTGGAGTGGCCTAGCCAGTCTCCAGATCTCAACCCCATAGAACATATTTGGAGGGAGTTGAAAGTCCGTGTTGCCCAACGACAGCCCCAAAACATCACTGCTCTAGAGGAGATCTGCATGGAGGAATGGGCCAAAATACCAGCAACAGTGTGTGAAAACCTTGTGAAGACTTACAGAAAACGTTTGACCTGTGTCATTGCCAACAAAGGGTATATAACAAAGTATTGAGAAACTTTTGTTATTGACCAAATACTTATTTTCCACCATAATTTGCAAATACATTCAATAAAAAATCCTACAATGTGATTTTCTGGATTTTTCTTTCTCATTTTGTCTGTCATAGTTGACGTGTACCTATGATGAAAATTACAGGCCTCTCATCTTTTTAAGTGGGAGAATTTGCACAATTGGTGGCTGACTAAATACTTTTATTCCCCACTGTAATTGTCAATAAAAGCCTTTGACACTTATGGAATGCTTGTAATTATACTTCAGTATACCATAGTAACATCTGACAAAAATATCTCATAACACTGAATCAGCGAACTTTGTGAAGACCAATACTTGTGTCATTCTGCCTTTGATACTGTGAACCATCAGATCCTCCTCTCCACCCTCTCCGAGCTGGGCATCTCCGGCGCGGCTCACTCTTGGATTGCGTCCTACCTGACCGGTCGCTCCTACCAAGTGGCGTGGCGAGAAGCTGTCTCCGCACCACGTGCTCTCACCACTGGTGTCCCCCAGGGCTCAGTTCTAGGCCCTCTCCTATTCTCGCTATACACCAAGTCACTTGGCTCTGTCATATCCTCACATGGCCTCTCCTATCATTGCTACGCTGACGACACACAACTAATCTTCTCCTTTCCCCCTTCTGATAACCAGGTGGCGAATCGCATCTCTGCATGTCTGGCAGACATATCAGTATGGATGACGGATCACCACCTCAAGCTGAACCTCGGCAAGACGGAGCTGCTCTTCCTCCCGGGGAAGGACTGCCCGTTCCATGATCTCGCCATCACGGTTGACAACTCCGTTGTGTCCTCTTCCCAGAGTGCGAAGAGCCTTGGCGTGACCCTGGACAACACCCTGTCGTTCTCCGCTAACATCAAGGCGGTGACCCGATCCTGTAGGTTCATGCTCTACAACATTCGGAGAGTACGACCCTGCCTTACACAGGAAGCGGCACAGGTCCTAATCCAGGCACTTGTCATCTCCCGTCTGGATTACTGCAACTCGCTGTTGGCCGGGCTCCCTGCCTGTGCCATTAAACCCCTACAACTCATCCAGAATGCCGCAGCCCGTCTGGTGTTCAACCTTCCCAAGTTCTCTCACGTCACCCCGCTCCTCCGCACACTCCACTGGCTTCCAGTTGAAGCTCGCATCTGCTACAAGACCATGGTGCTTGCCTACGGAGCTGTGAGGGGAACGGCACCTCCGTACCTTCAGGCTCTGATCAGTCCCTACACCCAAACGAGGGCACTGCGTTCATCCACCTCTGGCCTGCTGGCTCCCCTACCTCTGCGGAAGCATAGTTCCCGCTCAGCCCAGTCAAAACTGTTCGCTGCTCTGGCACCCCAATGGTGGAACAAGCTCCCTCACGACGCCAGGACAGCGGAGTCACTCACCACCTTCCGGCTGCAGCTCATTCAGAATGCAGCTGCTAGAATGTTAACCAGGACCAAGAGAACGGAGCACATCACTCTGGTTCTTAAATCTTTACATAGGCTTCCAGTCAGTTACAGAATTGATTTCAAAGTGGTGCTTTTAGTTTATAAATCTTTGAATGGTTTAGGACCTGAGTACATGTCTGATATGTTTGAAGAATATAAACAGAGCAGGGCTCTTAGATCCATGACCACAGGTCAGCTAGTAGAGCCCAGAGGCCAAACTAAACATGGAGAAGCTGCGTTTAGCACTTATGCTGTACACAACTGGAATAAACTACCAGAAGATCTTAGATGTGCCCCAAACTTATCCATTTTTAAATCCAGGTTAAAAACACTTCTCTTTTCACGTGCCTACGACTGAGCACTTAAACTTAACCACACTGTTTAGCCTTATAGCTTCCTATGTTTTTATCCCATTTTTAATTTATAATCTTTATGTTTTTTTGTATTGTTTTTTTATAGTTTTATTATTATTATGATGTTTTCATTATTTTTGATAAACATCTTTGTAAAGCACATTGAATTGTTTCGATGTATGAATTGTGCTATACAGTGGGGGAAAAAAAGTATTTACTCAGCCACCAATTGTGCAAGTTCTCCCAATTAAAAAGATGAGAGAGGCCTGTAATTTTCATCATAGGTACACGTCAACTATGACAGACAAATTGAGGAAAATAGTGTGTGAAAACCTTGTGAAGATTTACAGAAAACGTTTGACCTGTGTCAGGGTATATAACAAAGTATTGAGAAACTTTTGTTATTGACCAAATACTTATTTTCCACCATAATTTGCAAATAAATTCATAAAAAATCCTACAATGTGATTTTCTGGATTTTTCTTCTCATTTTGTCTATCATAGTTGACGTGTACCTATGATGAAAATTACAGGCCTCTCTCATCTTTTTAAGTGGGAGAACTTGCACAATTGGTGGCTGAGTAAATACCTTTTTTCCCCACTGTATAAATAAACTTGCTTGCTACACTGTATTTCTGATCAATTTGATGTTATTTTAATGGACAAAAAAATTGCTTTTCTTTTGAAAACAAGGACATTTCTAAGTGACCCCAAACTTTTAAACGGTAGTGTATATATATATATATATGATGTGTAGTGTTTTGGGTTAAGGCTATTGTTATGTGTCTTTGTTCCCCTATTCACGCTTTCCTGGTCTGTAGGAGCGGATTGAATACTCCAAGACATTCCAGGGGAAATACTTCAACTTCCTGGGTTATTTCTTCTCTATCTACTGTGTGTGGAAAATCTTTATGGTGAGCGTTACAGACATAGTCTGACTGAGACTTGATTCTTCTCGGCCCGACTAGCTACTGGTTCACCTGCTAGACAGCCTTAGAAACAAATGAAAAAAAATTACGTTTGAGTTTGGTGTCTGTCAGTTTAGAGAATATTCAGTGTCTTTTGATCTTTATTTAGTATCATTTATTGCGTCTGTATTTCAAAACATTTGTTATTCTACCCATATTGTTTTTGCTTTCAAACAATATGACCTTATACTTCACATACAGTCAGTTTGTTGTCATATACACATCAGTCCCCAAAACTATATCTGTAGTAACCCTTGTTTTTTCTCCCTCTAAGGCCACCATTAACATTGTATTTGACCGTGTTGGGAAGACTGATCCAGTGACAAGAGGAATTGAGATCACTGTTAACTACCTAGGCATTCAGTTTGATGTGACTTCTGCTACTCATGCGCACACAAACACGGCACACACACACCTGTACAGTCAAATGTCGTACAAGTTGTCTCCAGTAATGTTAATGGTTGTCATTTTATTAAAGTGTCCATTTGTACTGAATCTTCACCTTTACGTGATAATTCCAAATGGAAATAGTAGTAAGTTGTATTGGTGTGTTCTATTGTTGCTCTAGTTTTCCTTACATATCCTTTCCTCGGCAGGTAAAGTTCTGGTCTCAGCACATCTCCTTCATCCTGGTGGGCATCATCATCGTCACCTCTATTAGAGGCCTTCTCATCACACTCACCAAGGTAAGCCAACTACAGACAGGAAGTAGTCAGTGCCATGACTTGCCCTCATGGGCTGAGGATCATAGATGCCGTCTAGGCAAAGGTTTGAACACCCCCTTTTCTGGGGGCCAGTTTTATGACCGGTCGTAAATTCCTTGCAGAAACATTATTTTCCGTGCCATGCAGTATTGGGAGAGGAAACTTCCCTGTGAGACAAAGGAAGTGATGGAACACCCCTTTTACCCCGAGTGCATAAATAGCCTCGTGACAAATTTACCTCAGACCAGGAAGCCCACGGCTTAAAATGGTTGACACTCTACTAGACCAGCAGACGTGAAGCGTGAGCTAAACTTTACAAAATGGTTTAAAACTACAACTCCATTACCAAAGGAAGACCAAGCATACTACGGTATAAGCCGGATGTTGCAAATGGTTGAATTTCTACAAGACCGTGAAGCTGAAGCTAAACGTTACAAAATGGTTAGACCAGAAATACCAGAAAACGTGAGACCTTAGTCCACACGTTTGAAATTGAGAAACTGAAACTCTCAACCTCTACACGAGGTGAAGAAGAAGACAATGCACTAGACCTTATCATTTCAGTCTGCAGCTGGCATGTATAGTCGTCTAGAGAACTTTCACTAAAGACACGAGAGGAGAGGACAATCCCTCTCAGACAACCGCTGGTACATCTGACGTGTCCATTCTAACCACAACTATGACCAGAAACTCTACCAAGGTCATTGGGATCTCTGGTGGGCAAACCAGAATCCTACATCCTCAACTCAACTATCGAGGACAGCTACACGTAAACACATGTTGCATTTCTAATCCGAATGAGCATTTAGTGGGGTTTTAAGCATTTGTATTTCCGTCAGCGTAGTTTCCAAAGTAACCACGATAGTTTGAATCTCTGTCTCTCCCTTCCACTCTGACCCTCCTTCTACCCAAGCATTCATGCTATTGTTATTCCAGTCCACTAAGGACCTGTTTTCATTGTATTACGTTAGTAATCAATAACCTATGTGTGTGTTTGTATTGTGTTATTATTTAGTTAGTTAGGTACACTTCAACTGTGAGAGACAGAATCTAAAACAAAAATCCAGAAAATCACATTGTATGATTTTTAAGTAATTAATTTGCATTTTATTGCATGACATAAGTATTTGATCACCTACCAACCAGTAAGAATTCCGGCTCTCACAGACCTGTTAGTTTTTCTTTAAGAAGCCCTCCTGTTCTCCACTCATTACCTGTATTAACTGCACCTGTTTGAACTTGTTACCTGTATAAAAGACACCTGTCCACACACTCAATCAAACAGACTCCAACCTCTCCACAATGGCCAAGACCAGAGAGCTGTGTAAGGACATCAGGGATAAAATTGTAGACCTGCACAAGGCTGGGATGGGCTACAGGACAATAGGCAAGCAGCTTGGTGAGAAGGCAACAACTGTTGGCGCAATTATTGGAAAATGGAAGAAGTTCAAGATGACGGTCAATCACCCTCGGTTTGGGACTCCATGCAAGATCTCACCTCATGGGGCATCAATGATCATGAGGAAGGTGAGGGATCAGCCCAGAACTACACGGCAGGACCTGGTCAATGACCTGAAGAGAGCTTGGACCACAGTCTCAAAGAAAACCATTAGTAACACACTACGCCGTCATGGATTAAAATCCTGCAGCGCACGCAAGGTCCCCCTGCTCAAGCCAGTGCATGTCCAGGCCCGTCTGAAGTTTGCCAATGACCATCTGGATGATCCAGAGGAGGAATGGGAGAAGGTCATGTGGTCTGATGAGACAAAAATAGAGCTTTTTGGTCTAAACTCCACTCGCCGTGTTTGGAGGAAGAAGAAGGATGAGTACAACCCCAAGAACACCATCCCAACCGTGAAGCATGCAGGTGGAAACATCATTCTTTGGGGATGCTTTTCTGCAAAGGGGACAGGACGACTGCACCGTATTGAGGGGAGGATGAATGGGGCCATGTATCACGAGATCTTGGCCAACAACCTCCTTCCCTCAGTAAGAGCATTGAAGATGGGTCGTGGCTGGGTCTTCCAGCATGACAACGACCCGAAACACACAGCCAGGGCAACTAAGGAGTGGCTCCGTAAGAAGCATCTCAAGGTCCTGGAGTGGCCTAGCCAGTCTCCAGACCTGAACCCAATAGAAAATCTTTGGAGGGAGCTGAAAGTCAGTATTGCCCAGCGACAGCCCCGAAACCTGAAGGATCTGGAGAAGGTCTGTATGGAGGAGTGGGCCAAAATCCCTGCTGCAGTGTGTGCAAACCTGGTCAAGACCTACAGGAAACGTATGATCTCTGTAATTGCAAACAAAGGTTTCTGTACCAAATATTAAGTTCTGCTTTTCTGATGTATCAAATACTTATGTCATGCAATAAAATGCTAATTTAAAAATCATACAATGTGATTTTCTGGATTTTTGTTTTAGATTCCGTCTCTCACAGTCGAAGTGTACAGTGATCCCTCGCCACTTCGCGGTTCACTTATCGCGGATTCGCTATTTCGCGGATTTTCATAATGCATTTTTTTTTTTTTGGTGCATTGTGCTCTGCATTCTGATTCGCTAAAAACTCACTCCCGCTTCTTGTATCAAAACATGCTACGAATTGTGCTATCATTTTGTCGTCTCGTGCAGTTATGTGTACGTACATAAAACAGCTTGGCAAATTTACATTAAGTTGGCCAAATTATCTTGTAATTTCGAACATCTCCTAAACCCATAATGTCGACGAAACGGCCTGGACCGACAAAAGCACCTGCGGATGGGCCCAAACGGCGGAAGATGCTACCTATCTCAGATAAAGTTAAACTTCTGGACATGCTAAGGGAAGGTAAATGACAAAGCCACAAAGCGACGATGAAAGAGAAGAGGGAGAAGAGGACACGAGAGATGAGGAGGAAGGACTAACGCTTGGTCGCTTAGCAACCATGGTGCGAATGGCCACTGAACTTAAGCGAGTAGCTGAGGAATGGGACCCTTTGATGAGCCGTTCATTACAGTTCTCCAACGTAATCGATGGTGGCATGTCGGTGTACAAGGATCTTTTTGCAAAGAAGAAAAAAGAGCGACAACAGCTGCCTATCACTATGTTCTTCTCCCGAACAAACACACCTGCACCGCGGGCTTCAGAAGAAGAGAACACTGCAGAGCGCAGTCAGGATGCAGCGGCCCAGTCTGAAGAGCAGTGAAACGGCCTACACGTGAGTCACTGTATTTGTATACATGTAATAGTTGCTAATTGTAAAAAAAAAAAGTTTTCTATTTCGCGGATTTCACTTATCGCGGGTCATTTTCGGAACGTAACCCCCGCGATAAACGAGGGATTACTGTACCTATGATAAAAATTACAGACCTCTACATGCTTTGTAAGTAGGAAAACCTGCAAAATCGGCAGTGTATCAAATACTTGTTCTCCCCACTGTATATCTTCTAAGAGTTTAATTCGGGAGATGGTAACTCGTTAAACGACTTCTTCCGTGGTGCCCCAAATTCCTAATGAGTTAATTGTTACATGATTAATTTAATCGAGTGACAATTAAACATAGTTAGGTGATTCGATAAATAACAGTCATACATTAAAGTCACGTCACAACATCAGTCTACCTAGGCATGTTACAATGTACCCTAACACCGATCTTGAGTTTCTGTTTCTCTCTAGTTCTTCTATGCCATCTCCAGCAGCAAGTCCTCCAATGTTATAGTGCTGGTCCTAGCTCAGATCATGGTCAGTATATATATATCAGAGGGCATATATTTCAGTGTAAATGCTTTTTTTTTGTGATCAGTTGTGTATTCAATCTTTAGATAAGTTAGTGCGAAGACAACTGACATCCTGGGTGTCTCTCTTGTTTTTCTCAGTAGTGCGAAGACAACTGACATCCTGGGTGTCTCTCTTGTTTTTCTCAGGGGATGTACATTGTCTCGTCCGTTCTCCTCATGAGGATGAGCATGCCTCGGGAGTATCGCTCTATCGTGACCGAGGTGCTGGGCGAGCTGCAGTTCAACTTCTACCACCGATGGTTCGACGTCATCTTCCTCGTCAGTGCCCTCTCCAGCATCCTTTTCCTCTACCTCGCCCACAAACAGGCACCCGAGAAGCACGTGACCCCCTGACCCCACTTTGAACTTGACCCTTTACCTGGATGCTCAGGGGGTGTCCACAACTGAACTTTGAGTCTGTGGGATTTAGATGTTATTTTTTTATATATTTTTTCTCTGGTCCGTCTGTGTGGTGGAGAGAAGAAGAGGTTTGGCCTGTGTTTCCTGAATCAGGAAGGGTCGATGCGTCGCCATGTGGACCATTGGTGTCGGGGGGGAATCAATGGAGGGGAATTGGAGCCATGGAAGACTGGAAGGCTGGACTAATGTTGGGTTTGAACGTTGGGGGGTAATGACTAAAACAATGTAGCTAACGATAGGAATGTGCCATTGTGCTGTTGGCCCGTTGGACAGAGGTTCTGTCTAGCCTTAAATTAATCTGACCACAGGAGAACTACATAGTATACAGCACAGACCAGCTTCACTGCAACACTAGCTTTGTTGTATGAAGGGGTTGTAAAGACCATCAATCCCTGAAGTTTACACTCTATTTTTGACAAACAGAATAATCAGAATTATAGAAGAAATGTGTCCCCCAATGTCCATGATGCTATTGGCTAGCATATTTCATGGTGCCCAGTCTGTACATGTCATGTACCTGGGGTTGTTTGTTGGTGAATGTGTGTGAATATCTACTGTAGTCTACTGTGCTTTCACACAGGTGGGAAGGCTTCAGAATAAACCAATTTATGTGGCTAATAATTTGTTAGTTATTAGTTACTAGGTTCCCTTTATTTTAAGTACTGCAATGCCACTATAAATATAACAGTTAAGCAAAAAATAACTGAATAATGACTTACAGACACAGATCTGGGACTGGATACTTTATCTTTGTGAGAGCAGTATTTGACATCTGAGCAGAAAGACACAATGGCTCTTTGGATACGCTAAAATAAAACAGATTTACTTAATAAATGACAATAATTTAAATGCTATCTAAAAGACAGCTTTATGATTAAGATGTAGCCTATGTCACTATATGGTTTTTGTTATAGTATTACACATTGAACTGGTATTACTAGTGTTCTCGGTCTACATTGAACTGGTATTACTAGTGTTCTCGGTCTATATTGAACTGGTATTACTAGTGTTCTCGGTCTATATTGAACTGGTATTACTAGTGTTCTCGGTCTACATTGAACTGGTATTACTAGTGTTCTCGGTCTATATTGAACTGGTATTACTAGTGTTCTCGGTCTATATTGAACTGGTATTACTAGTGTTCTCGGTCTATATTGAACTGGTATTACTAGTGTTCTCGGTCTATATTGAACTGGTATTACTAGTGTTCTCGGTCTATGTTGAACTGGTATTACTAGTGTTCTCGGTCTATATTAAACTGGTATTACTAGTGTTCTCTGTCTACATTGCAGGTGCTTGTAATAAGATCATATGAATCCATAAGCTTGTTTGGTATCAGTGGCATCTAACTGATCAATGCAATTATACATCAATAAACACATAGCTATTTATTACTATTTTAAACCGATTGCATTCATACCTTAAAACAGCCACTGTCATTTGAATGTATTTAGTTTGATCAGAATTTTTATGCAGAGATATCCACATTAACCTGCATGGTGCAAAGGTTGATGGGAGACAAAGGTCAGGATGTTGTTTCTCATTGATGACTTCTCAGAGTCTCTCATCAACACTCGAGCATGATGCTGCTGAAGACACAGATGGAGTCTAAGGGAGAGAAAGACAGTCAAATAATTGTCTGCAATAGAATTGTGGGTAAATACAATTGATACTAACTTGCTTTTGAATACTTTTGGTTTTAGTCTATACATTCAGACTCATTTGGATCTAGTTCAGAAGCTACCAAGGCACTCGAGCATATTTCTGTTATGTCACTCACTCTCTCTCGTGTCTGGGGTGGTGGGGTGTCTGGCTTAGCTTCCTCCTCCTCCTCCTCCTCCTCCTCTCTGACTTCCTCCAGGGTGGCTGGTGTGTCTATTTGGGCTGGTGTGTGTCTTCGGGCTGGGGAGTGGGGTGGGGATGGGGATCTGGATGTTGGTGCGGGTGTGAGGAGCTGTGGTGTGATGGCCACCCCTTTGGATTTGAAGTGGTGGTAGGCCTGCTTCCCAGCCACTAGGAGCACCAGTGAGCTGCCGCTCTTACGGATCAACCCCACCACTTGCTCGTGGCTGCTCTGCTCCACGTTTACACCATCCACCTCCACCACAATGTCATCATCCTCCATACCCGCCCTGTCCGCAGCTCCGCCCTTCACCACCTAAGTGAGAGAACACCGCAAGGGGTGAGCTGAGTTGTGAATGGTTTGGAATGTAAACAGTTGACAGTGATTCAGAGGTACACAAAGTATGTGGACACCCGTTCAAATTAGTGGACTCGGCTATTTCAGCCACACACGTTGCTGACAGGTGTATAAAATCGAGCACACAGCCATGCAATCTCCATAGACAAACATTGGCAGTAGAATGGCCTTACTGAAGAGCTCAGTGACTTTCAACGTGGCACCGTCATAGGATGCCACCTTTCAAGCAAGTCAGTTCGTCACATTTCTGCCCTGCTAGAGCTGCCCCGGTCAACTGTAAGTGCTGTTATTGTGAAATGGAATCGTCTAGGAGCGACAACGTCTCAGCCGCAAAGTGGTAGGCCACACAAGCTCACAGAATGGGACATCCGAGTGCCTTTGGAAGCAACGTCAGCACAAGAACTGTTCGTCAAGAGATTCATGAAATTGATTTCCATGGCCAAGCAGCCGCACAGAAGCCTAAGATCACCAAGCGCAATGCCAAGCGTCGGCTGGAGTGGTGTAAAGCTCGCCGCCATTGGACTCTGGAGCAAGAGAAATCTTAACACTACAGCATACAATGTCATTCTAGACAATTCTGTGCTTCCAACTTTGTGGCAACAGTTTGGGAAAGGCCCTTTCCTGTTTCAGCATGGCAATGCCCCGTGCACAAAGCGAGGTCCATACAGAAACGGTTTGTTGACATCGGTGTGGAAGAAGCCCTGACCTCAACCCTATCGAACACCTTCGGGATGAATTGGAACGCCGACTGCGAGCCAGGCCTAATCGCCCAACATCAATGCCCGACCTCACTAATGCTCTTGTGGCTGAATGGAAGCAAGTCCCCGCAGCAATGTTCCAACATCTAGTGGAAAGCCTTACCAGAAGAGTAGAGGCTGTTATAGCAGCAAGGGGGACCAACTCCATATTAATGCCCATGATTTTGGAATGAGATGTTCGACGAGCAGGTGTCCACATACTTTTGGTCATGTAGTGTATGAAATTGAGGTTAGCATGTGCTTTGTTCCCTTGATCTTTCCCATATCTGATTGACAGTCTTGTATAGTTCATGTATTTGGGATGCATTCTCTTGTCCGTTTGGCTACCCATTGGATATAGTAGGTGCTCTGTACATTGTACTTACTTCTTTGATGTACTGGCCACAGACCCCCTGGATACCGTTGAGGTGGAAGCCGTACCCGGCGGAGGTCTTCTCCATCTTACACAGCTTGAGGAGGGCTGTGGTAACTGGGGCTGGGGGAAGGGCTGGGACGCACTCTGGGTAGCTAGGTGGAGGGCTCGCTGGAAGGAGGTATCCCATCTCTTCCAAGTAGAAAAGAGGAGACACGCCTCCCTGTGGAATATCACAATTAATCTCAGACCTACATCTCAATCCCCACTGTAGTCTTCTTCACTGCCCCCCTGTCTCTCTGGCCACTTCCTGAGGCTGTAATATATGCTATGATAGTTACCAGGAAATGACCCCCCTCAAGGCCCCTCAGCCTTGAAGTTTTTCAACAGTTTTTCAACAAAGGGCAAAAATGTAGCGCAGTGGATTTAAGCGCAAAAACTTTATAAAAGGCATCTGGTAAATTAATCCAATAACACACATACTTTTATATCTTAAATGATATAATTGTGAAGCCTGTACGAAATAGCTTTGTGATTGAAAATAAAAAGCACTCAACAAATGTAATTTAATAGTATTATTAAAAGATTAGGCGACATGATCCGGAATTAAAGTGGAAGAGGCGGTTACTTTCACAGGGTATTCACAATGTTTCTCAGAGTACTCATCAGGATCAGCTCCCCCCTCTCATTCATTATAATCCAAAGGACAAAACTGATCCTAGATCAGCACTCCTACTCTGAGACACTTTGTGAATATGGGCCCAGATTTGTAGGCCTATGTGCTTTAGCTAACTCCTTTGACTGTCATTTTAAATACATTTATTTCCTAAATCCAACAGGAAAGATTTCTCCCAGACAACTCACCATCTTGTAGAGCGTGTAAGTGTCTTCATCGACCACCAGGAGGCAGCACTTGTTGCCACACTGCCTGATCCTGTCCACCACCTGCTCATGGCTGCAGCTGTCCACTTCCTCTCCCTCCACGGCAACCAGTCTGTCCATCTCCTTTAGTCCCGCCCTATCAGCTGGGCTGCCCCTGTCAATGTCCTTGATGAAGTGGCCTGCAGATAGGACGATATTTACAGTAGATGTTGTTATTGTGTAAAATGATGCAGACTGATGGCTATTGTTGTTGGTGAATAGTCTAATAGTGATGATCCTATGTGGCTATTAGTAGATGTGTTGTTATAAGGGATTAATAGATTCTGAAAAGGCATTATAACCACATCTTAATGCATTATAACGGTTGGCTTTAAGTAAAGTGTAACCAAGTTTTCAAAATTCACCCACCACACAAGCACACACACCTGTCTTGTTAGGCTCGGCCTTAAGGAAGTATCCATAGCCGTCTGATCCTTTGACCAAGTCTACAATGCGTGGCTTCAGTGGGAGGAACTTCACTGTGGCTAGCCCCGCACCTAGCCTGATGTGTTTGTTCTTGTAGAACTTGTCTGTGTCTTCGTCCACCAGTAGAAACATGATTCTGCCGCCTGATGCCTTGACCTGACAGAGGTCACAACAGGGGCTCTTTAAGGATGGTGCAATGTTAAAGAATGTTCAGATAGAAATGAATTGTGAAGAATAGACATGTAGAATAAAGACTCGTTATGACATACAGTACCAGTCAAAAGTTTGGACACCTACTCATTCAAGGGTTTTTCTTTATTTTTTACTATTTTCTACATTGTAGAATAATAGTGAAGACATCAAAGCTATGAAATAACACATATGGAATCATGTAGTAACCAAAAAAGTGTTAAACAAATCAAAATATATTTTATATTTGAGATTCTTCAAATAGCCACTTCTTTGCCTTTATGACAGCTTTGAATGAGTAGGTGTGTCCAAACGTTTGACTGGTAGTGTATCTTTCCTTAACTTGACCGATCACATTTGTTTCTGCCCTCAAGGCAAAGCTGCCCTTAGAACAAAGATGGAATCAGGAAAACTCTGATTTGCCAAATTATCATTGTCCCAACTCCTGCATTCTGAGTGAGTCCACATCACTAAGGAATTGTCATGGTCCACACACACCAACACAGTCGTGAAGAGGGCATGACAATGCCTCTTCCCTGGTCAGGAGGCTGAAAAGATTTGGCATGGGCCCTGGGCCCTCAGATCATCAAAAGGTTCTACAGCTACACAATTGAGAGCATCTTGACTGGCTGCATCACCGCTTGGTATGGCAACTGCTTGGCATTCGACCGCAAGGCGCCACAGAGGGTAGTGCGTATGGCCCAGTACATCACTGTGGACGAGCTCCATGCCATCCAGGACCTCTATACCAGGCGGTGTCAGAAGGCCCTAAAAAGACTCCAGCCACCCAAGTCAGACTGTTCTCTCTGCTACCGCACGGCAAGCGGTGCCTATGCACCAAGTCTGGAACCAACAGGACCCTGAACAGCTTCTACACCCAAGCCATAAGACTGCTAAATAGTTATTCCAGGTAGCTATTGGTTAACTATTTAACTATCTGCATTGACCCTTTTTGTATTAGCTGTTTTGACTCATCACATACGCTGCTGTTACTCTTTATCTATCCTGTTGCCTAGTCACTTTTTCCCTACCTATACCTCAATTACCTCGTACCCCTGCACATCGACTCGGTCCTGGTACCCTGTGTATATAGCCACGTTATTGTTACTCATTGTGTATTTATTCCTTATTATTTTTCTATTTCTCTTTTTCTTTCTCTGCATTGGGAAGGCCCCGTAAGAATTTCACTGTTAGTCTACTCCTGTTGTTTACAAAGTATGTGACAAATAACATTTGATTTGAACATAATGTGTTGACAGGCTATAGAATAAAAGTACAGATATTGAACTTAAAGTTTACCACAGAGTAGTGTAAATATGGGGTGAATTCTGACCTTCTCTACTATCTGGTCATGAGTGGCATTCTCCATGTTCTCCCCATTGACCTCTATCAGACGGTCGTTGGCCTTGACCCCTGCCCTCTCGGCCACACCCCCTGGGGTCACCTCTGCCATGAACATGCCCACCTCACCTGGGACAGGAAATGGAAGAAAGAAAATGTAGTTTAAAACAGAATCACAATCCTAAATTCATTATCATTGGATATGCAAAAGACATTCAATACAGTATGTTCATTAATTTGTATCCCTTATTTTACCAGGTAAGTTGACATATTATAATTTACAGCAACAACCTAGGGAATAGTTACAGGGGAGAGGAATGAGCCAATTGGAAGCTGGGAATGATTAGGTGGCCATGATGGTCAGACTGGGAACTTAGCTAGAACACCAGGGTTTACACCCCTACTCTTACGATAAGTGCCATGGGATCTTTAGTGGCTACAGATAGTCAGGACACCCATTTTAACGTCCCATCTGAAAGACGGCACCCTACACAGGGCAATGTCCCCAATCACTGCTCTGGGGAATTGGGATATATACACTACCGTTCAAAAGTTTGGGGTCACTTAGAAATGTCCTTGTTTTCAAAAGAAAAGCAATTATCAAATTGATCAGAAATACAGTGTAGACATTGTTAATGTTGTAAATGGCTATTGTAGCTGGAAACAGCTGATTTTTTAAATGGAATATCTACATAGGTGTACAGAGGCCCATTATCAGCAACCATCAGTCCTGTGTTCCAATGGCACGTTGTGTTTGCTAATCCAAGTTTATCATTTTAAAAGGCTAATTGATCATTAGAAAACCCTTTTGCAATTATGTTGCAAAGAAAAAGCCATATCTCAGACTGGCCAATAAAAAGAAAAGATTAAGATGGGCAAAAGAACACAGACACTGGGCTTTTTCTTTGCAACTCTGCCTAGAAGGTCAGCATCCCGGAGTCGCCTCTTCACTGTTGATGTTGAGACTGGTGTTTTGCGGGTACTATTTAATGAAGCTGCCAGTTGAAGACCTGTGAGGCGTCTGTTTCTCAAACTAGACACTAATGTATTTGTCCTCTTGCTCAGTTGTGCACCGGGGCCTCCCACTCCTCTTTCTATTCTGGTTAGAGACAGTTTGCGCTGTTCTGTGAAGGGAATAGTACACAGCGTCGTACGAGATCTTCAGTTTCTTGGCAATTTCTCGCAAGAATAGACTGACGCGTTTCAGAAGAAAGTTATTTGTTTCTGGCCATTTTGAGCCTGTAATCGAACTCACAATTGCTGATGCTCCAGATACTCAACTAGTCTCAAGAAGGCCAGTTTTATTGCTTATTTAATCAGCACAACAGTTTTCAGCTGTGCTAACATACTTGCAAAAAGGTTTTCTAATGATCAATTAGCCTTTTTAAATGATAAACTTGGATTAGCAAACACAACGTGCCATTGGAACACAGGACTGATGGTTGCTGATAATGGGCCTCTGTACGCCTATGTAGATATTCCATTAAAAATCTTCAGTTTCTAGCTACAATAGCCATTTACAACATTAACAATGTCAACACTGTATTTCTGATCAATTTGATGTTATTTTAATGGACCAAAAAATTGCTTTTCTTTTGAAAACAAGGACATTTCTAAGTGACCCCAAACTTTTGAACAGTAGTGTATTTTTTTTTGACATGGGGAAACAGTACCTCCTACTGGCCCTCCAACGCCACTTCCAGCAGCATCTGGTCTCCCAGCCAGGGATTGACCAGGACCAACCCTGCTTAGCTTCATAGGGAAGCCAGCAGTGGGTTGCAGAGTGTTATGCTGCTGGCTATTAAAAGCCCACACCATGCAAGACAATGATAATGTGTTTATTTCTTGCTTGATCAACAAGCAAAACAATTTAATCCGAGATGACAATAATTGCTGTGTGTCTTATTAGCCGTATCACACACAGTCAAATAAATAACCAAAGAGATTGTGTGTGTGTGTGCCCCACCCCTCTCACCTTTGACAGAGCGCAAAGAGAAGCCGTAGCCCCCGCTGGACTTGGCCAGGTAGCAGAGTTTGGGTTTGGGTGCCTCTCCTGCCACTCCGTTCATGGTGGGCTGGGTGGGTTTGGGGTGAGGGTCAGACAGGTCCACCCCCTCAGTCTTGGCCTGCTTGTAGGACGCCACATCCAGAACATGGAAGGTGATGGATACACCACTCTCCTTCACCAGGTCCACCACCTAACCCAGGACACACAGCACAAAAAGATGGGACAAAGCATGGTATGTTGCTACAGCAATACTTATAGCTTTATAGTTATTTAGTAATTCCACATTTACCAAACCCAAACTGGTACCCTACTCCAGGCACTTTACATGACTTGATAGGTGTGAACAATATCAGAGGATAAGGTTATTACCATACTATAACCTTACTATTACTATATTGCTTACACCTGTATAATTTCAATACAATAAACGTGGGAGAAGCTAGGGGTTCATGTGGAATTGGACAGCTGCTAGCCCTGTCATCTCCCCCTCCTCACCCGTGAGTGGTCCATTTCGTCCACATAGGTTCCGTTGACCCGGAGGATGCGGTCGCCATCCTTCAAACCCGCCAGCTCGGCCGGCCCACCCATCTCCAGGTTCCTGAGCAGGTGACCATCCTCGCCTTGCTCCACCCTCAGTAAGAAGCCAAAGCTATGACCTGGCTTCTTACTCAGAACTATCACCCTGGGCTTGTACCCAGCCATGTCCTACAACAGACATCACAGGGTAAGAACACAACACGCCACACCACACCACACACTGGTGCGCACAGTCACCCTCTATTTTTACCCAGCCATATCCTGCAATACAGACAAGTGTGAGAATGCTTACACACACAAACTTTCCTTCTCCTCCCTACAAAACCTTTTTTCTCCTCCCTAAACCTAACCTCCCGTGTGTAGCAGTGGTAAACCCGATTTTATCTAATCTCAATGTCCTAAACCTCCCACATTATCAGGCTTGCCAAATGACATCAATAACGCAATGTGCTGTAAAACATAGCTATTCTGTAGCAACTCATAGGTACATACTGTACAGTAACTACACCCTCAGATAAATTGAAGTCAATCAGTGGAACAATTGGTGGAACAATTGCACAACATAAATCTGGTATAGGAATTGAGATATAAACATATAAAGATATAAAATACTTGATTTTTCGTAGAGATAAGAGACATAGACATCTATCACTGTGGGGTTGTGCTGAAGGCCATGGGTCATTGATTACACGGATTGATACTTTACTGACAGATCTCTGGAGTGTATTCTGCCGATCATTATGGGTGAATCCCTAACTCATGCACACGTGCACACACACACCAAGATCTACACTCTTGAAGACCTTTGTTTGAATATTTTAGCAAAGTGCTGACAGCTCCAGAAGAAGTTTAACCTGCTATGCCAACTCTCCCATGGCCGCGAGCAGGGTGTTAATGGTTAACGGCAGCCAGGGCCAGCTGAAGGTGCGAAGGGCTCTTTTAACTTGAATGTGTGAACTTTGACCCCCAAATAAAGAATGTCAACATAGGAATCCTTATAATGTATATTACACTGTTATCACATAGAGAAAGAAAGACGTGACGGACGTGTGTGTGTTAAGGCGTAAGTGTAGTGTAAGTCTGTGTGTGGTGGTGTGCTGATATTGATCCGTTCCTGCAGTTTGCTAATCTATTTCCAACTGTTAGATTATAATAAACACTGTAATATGTAAAATTGTATCATTTAATCAATTTCATAGTCACTGTAGATTGCTGTGTTTAGGGAGATTGTCTCCTGGAAGAAGATGCAGTCCTCAAGTCCTATAAGCTAGCCCAATATGACAATTGCAAGGAAACTCCATCTACATTTGGAAAGAAACCTTGAGTGGAACCATGATGCTATTTAGAGGGATGATATCCCATGAGTTTGAATCCTCACCAAAGTGTGGGGGTACGTGTCACGTAGTAACCCTAAAGTCTCACTCCTGTAGCGTTATATGGAAATGCTCTATCCACTGCTCCTATATCTCTGTTCTTTCTCTATATCAATTACACTCTTACTGAAAACACCTGCCATTACCCGCCACAAATAAGATAACCAGTACATGCAATATCAAAATACTGAGCAAATAGTCGAATTTACCATGTTAATAAATATGGCATTCATTAGAGAAACAGTAGAACATTCACTCACCTGCTCCTGTCTCTACTCCCAGTCCAAAAGAGGAGCTCACCTAATCCTCAGGTGTTATCTCGATCTCTATCTGTCTTCCCCTTTTTCTCTCTCTCTCTCTCTCTCTCTCTCTCTCTCTCTCTCTCTCTGACTTTGACTGTCCAAAGGTGGACCTAAAGGCTGAGCTATTTAACAGTGTTTCTTGGGAGATGCATGTCTGAACAGACCTGTCCACGTAACCCTTTAAAACCACTGTCCCAATCACAACCCAGTCATCTGTTCAGATGGTCAGAGGTGACAGAAAATGGTGGAGAAAGCTACTTTCACTGTCAAGGATCAAGGCTTGGCAACGTAATGCAATGTTAATGGGAGCAAAGACTGGCTGACTGTGGGCATATTACCTGGATGGAAGAATTGCGTGTTTTATTATGGAAATTGACTTTATCTGTGGGATAGTCTGCCAGTATAGTACAGTTTATCTCCATAGATTATGGAATTATATGAAGATGAGGTGTATCAGAACAAACCAAGCCACCAATATGAGGTGTGTCACACCCATCTTATGAATGGCTGAGGCCAAATGTAGTATATTTGAATACATTTTGTGTGAATAGGTAACTTGAAACTATAGTTTGTACTGCATATTTATACTGAATAAAAATATAAATGCAACATGTAAAGTGTTGGTCCCATGTTTCATTAAATGAAATAAAAGGTACCAGAAATGTTCCATACGCACAGAAAGCTTATTTCTCTCAAATGTTGTGCACAAATTTGTTTACATCCCTGTTAGTTAGCATTTCTCCTTTGCAAAGATAATCTTTCCACCTGACAGGTGTGGCATATCAAGAAGATGATTAAACAGCATGATAATTACACAGGTGCACCTTGTGCAGGGGACAATAATATTAGATGACTCATTCGGAGTACTATTTTCTAAATTTCACATACTAAATAATGTAAGTTTTTAACATACAATTTAGTACGCTAGTATGAGTGTTCGGACAGGGCCAGTGTTTCATGTAATGGTTGATTGATCTATGAAGAATGTGTTATTGTCAGTAGAGCCAGTTTGGTACTACTACTAGGGCGTCAGCCTCGCTGTTAAGAGCGTTGGACCAATAACCGAAAGGTCCCTGGTTCGAATCCCTGAGCCGACTAGGTGAAAAATCTGTCTGTGACTTTGAGCAAAGCACTTAACCCAAATTGTTCTGCATAATATTGTCTGCTAAAATCTAAATGGTGTGATCTGGTTGGATGAAGCTGTTCCAGTCTCTGAGGACAGTATAAAAGTCATGAATCCACTCATGTCTGTCTGTCTTTTGGTAACTATAAAGCCAGACACACAGCTTGTCCAATGATATCTAGATGCATCTCAACTCCGTTATCGGTATGACAAAGTACAATCTTTGACAATTGAGTTTAGGGTTGGGGTTAAAGATTGAAACGTGAATTTGCGGGACTGTTACAATCTGACTTGGACCAATACATACCTAGAGGCTGGTAATCTGGGTCCATGTAACAGAGGTTTGTGAAGATTCCCCCAACTGATCTCTGCCACCTGCTGTCAAGACAGAGGAGAAGATTAAAACATATTCACCCATTTTGTAAGACAACTGCAAGCCAGAAAACGAATTGGTTGTAGTTCTATAGGATTAAAGACAATGAGACAGTGAAGATGAGAGTGGGAGAGAAACAACAAGTGTGTGTATGTGCGTTTGTGTGTGTGTGTGTTATACACAGATACGTGTGTTATTGTGTGTGTTTGTGTTGATTAGGTCAGAGACAGAGAGTCTGCTGCCCAGGTCAGCATTCACTCAACCATTAGTCAAATCTGAAGTGACTTGGTGTCTGTATCATGCAGGTCTGATCCACACACACACACACACACAGCTGGGTGAGAGATGAGGCCCCAGATGCAGGTGTGTGTCCCTGGGGTAAACAGTAGAGACAGGATGGAGCGTTGTGCAGCCAGGGAGAGAGATAGAGAGATGACCCTCTGTCCAGGCAGGTACTCACCAGGGGACTGGAGTTGTGTTTGGACAGATTGATGTGAGGGGCACCGGACAGGACGGGAGCCATGCAGGGCCAGGAGACATAGTGTCTGAGAGAGACAGAGATCCTCTTCAGCTTGAGCAAACACTACTGTCTGACTAATTTCTCTGTGTGTTAGTGTGTGTGTGTGGATCAGACCTGCATGGTTCAAATACTATTTCAAATACAGTGGGGGAAAAAAGTATTTAGTCAGCCACCAATTGTGCAAGTTCTCCCACTTAAAAAGATGAGAGAGGCCTGTAATTTTCATCATAGGTACACGTCAACTATGACAGACAAAATGAGAAAGAAAATTCCAGAAAATCACATTGTAGGATTTTTAATGAATTTATTTGCAAATTATGGTGGAAAATAATTATTTGGTCAATAACAAAAGTTTCTCAATACTTTGTTATATACCCTTTGTTGGCAATGACACAGGTCAAACGTTTTCTGTAAGTCTTCACAAGGTTTTCACACACTGTTGCTGGTATTTTGGCCCATTTCTCCATGCAGATCTCCTCTAGAGCAGTGATGTTTTGGGGCTGTCGCTGGGCAACACGGACTTTCAACTCCCTCCAAAGATTTTCTATGGGGTTGAGATCTGGAGACTGGCTAGGCCACTCCAGGACCTTGAAATGCTTCTTACGAAGCCACTCCTTCGTTGCCCGGGCAGTGTGTTTGGGATCATTGTCATGCTGAAAGACCCAGCCACGTTTCATCTTCAATGCCCTTGCTGATGGAAGGAGGTTTTCACTCAAAATCTCACGATACATGGCCCCATTCATTCTTTCCTTTACACGGATCAGTCGTCCTGGTCCCTTTGCAGAAAAACAGCCCCAAAGCATGATGTTTCCACCCCCATGCTTCACAGTAGGTATGGTGTTCTTTGGATGCAACTCAGCATTCTTTGTCCTCCAAACACGACGAGTTGAGTTTTTACCAAAAAGTTATATTTTGGTTTCATCTGACCATATGACATTCTCCCAATCCTCTTCTGGATCATCCAAATGCACTCTAGCAAACTTCAGACGGGCCTGGACATGTACTGGCTTAAGCAGGGGGACACGTCTGGCACTGCAGGATTTGAGTCCCTGGCGGCATAGTGTGTTACTGATGGTAGGCTTTGTTACTTTGGTCCCAGCTCTCTGCAGGTCATTCACTAGGTCCCCCCGTGTGGTTCTGGGATTTTTGCTCACCGTTCTTGTGATCATTTTGACCCCACGGGGTGAGATCTTGCGTGGAGCCCCAGATCGTGGGAGATTATCAGTGGTCTTGTATGTCTTCCATTTCCTAATAATTGCTCCCACAGTTGATTTCTTCAAACCAAGCTGCTTACCTATTGCAGATTCAGTCTTCCCAGCCTGGTGCAGGTCTACAATTTTGTTTCTGGTGTCCTTTGACAGCTCTTTGGTCTTGGCCATAGTGGAGTTTGGAGTGTGACTGTTTGAGGTTGTGGACAGGTGTCTTTTATACTGATAACAAGTTCAAACAGGTGCCATTAATACAGGTAACGAGTGGAGGACAGAGGAGCCTCTTAAAGAAGAAGTTACAGGTCTGTGAGAGCCAGAAATCTTGCTTGTTTGTAGGTGACCAAATACTTATTTTCCACCATAATTTGCAAATAAATTCATAAAAAATCCTACAATGTGATGTTCTGGATTTCTTTTTCTCAATTTGTCTGTCATAGTTTACGTGTATCTATGATGAAAATTACAGGCCTCTCTCATCTTTTTATGTGGGAGAACTTGCACAATTGGTGGCTGACTAAATACTTTTTTTCCCCACTGTATCTAAATTACTTTCACATACATTTCGAAGTAAGTATTCAGATACGTTTTATTTGAAAAGACAAGTAGTTTAATATTGGAATACATTTGGAAATATACTTGGAAAGTATTGGCATGTATTTTAAAATACACTCCCAGGCATTTTAACCCAGGTATTTCAAAATATATTTTTTAATAAGTATTTGAAAATACTTTCAAATAGTAGGCAATTTATAGGAAATTATTTGATAATACTGTCAAATACTTCCAATAGAAGTAGATTCCGGCCACATTATCTGAAATACTCAAATATGGATGTAGGATGAGGATCCTAACTTCATCACCCTGTTGCAGGAGAACTTTCCTGCAATGCAGGACATTTTACAATGGTAGTGTATTTGAAATTTAAAAAGGCTTCTGAAGTTTGTAATCTCCACTTTGAAATTTTAGCCTTGTTTTTCCCTTACAAAAATGTCTATTAATTATAAATCACATTTCCTGTTGCTTCAGGATTATTTCCCTGATGTAGCAAACTGGCTCAAATTAAGATCCTACATCTGTACACAAAAAATAAGTATTTAAATAACAAATCATTTGAACCCAGGTCTGGTGTGAATACAGACATCAAGTCATCTCAGATTCGACCAATGGTTGAGTGGGTGTGTTTTTGTGTCAGATACAGGGTTCCTTTTCTGCTATATTGACTCATTGTCTTGGTACTAAATTGGTACTAGTCCCCTGTAGCTCAGTTGGTAGAGCATGGCGCTTGCAACGCCAGGGTTGTGGGTTCGTTTCCCACGGGGGGCCATTATGAAAACAATGTATGCACTCACTAACTGTAAGTCGCTCTGGATAAGAGCATCTGCTAAATGACTAAAAATGTACAACTTTAAAAGCACAACTTCACTCCAGTTGGATGTGTGTCTGATATTAGGTGGATCTATTCTACACATTGCACTCACGCTCTATCAGAGCAACCTTTCACCATGCTCTAGTTATCAGTGTTACACCATTTGGAGTCATTACTGTTACACCGTCCGGGTGTAATCAACATGTCATCCCAGAGAGAGACCATGATGAATAACACTCCTCCCAGCAGCTAGCAGTTATCTCTCTCTCTCTCTCTCTCTCTCTCTCTCTCATCTGATTGGCACTTTCATTGGCTTGTTTAGGTGGGGTAATTGGATCTGCAGATCTTTGCCTGCTTACTTCCATGAGGAAAATATGTAAGTGATGGAATAATATGTTTTAGCTAATACGAAAATGGTTTGTTTTTGTAATTCTAATCTATGGAATACAAAACGCGTGTATGGGTAGGCCCATGTCCTTGATGGGAAAAACATTGTGTGGTTGATAGGCTACATGCATTTCACATGTGAAATCACAATCATCAGCTAGGTTTCGATCTAATTTGCGACAGATTTTAATGTGAATATTCTAAAATCTGCATAAAACAATATGCGCATTTTCCATCATACTGAGTTTTTGCTGTTGAAAGGCTGTGTATGATGACGTGGTAAACATAAAAATAACTATTGCGGTTAAATTCCCACGTACCGTATGAATACAAGGTAGATGGGTTTCCTTCATATTATAAACTGTTGCTTTATATAGCTAATGTGCGCACTCTGGTCTTGGCACGTGTGCTCTAGCCGAAAGCTCGCAGATACACTTTATATACAAAGGTATGTGGACACCCCTTCAAATTAGTGGATTAGGCTATTTCAGCCACACCCGTTACTGACAGGTGTATAAAATCGAGCACACCGCCATGCAATCTCCATAGACAAACATTGGCAGTAGAATGGCCTTACTGAAGAGCTCAATGACTTTCAACATGGCACCGTCATAGGATGCCACCTTTCCAGCAAGTCAGTTCGTCAAATTTCTGCCCTGCTAGAGCTGCCCCGGTCAACTGTAAGTGCTGTTATTGTGAAGGGGAAACGTCTAGGAACAACAATGTCTCAGCCGCGAAGTGGTAGGCCACATAAGCTCACAGAATGGGACCACCGAGTGCTGAAGTGCGTAGCTCGTAACAATCGTCTGTCCTCGGTTGCAACACTCATGAGTTCCAACCTGCCTCTGGAAGCAATGTCAGCACATGTTCGTCGGGAGCTTCATGAAATGGGTTTCCATCGCCGAGCAGCCGCACACAAGCCTAAGATCACCATGCGCAATGGCAAGCGTCGGCTGGAGTGGTGTAAAGCTCGCCGCCATTGGACTCTGGAGCAGTGGAAACACGTTCTCTGGAGTGATGAATCACGCTTCACTATCTGGCAGTCCAACAGACTAATCTGGGTTTGGCAGATGCCAGGAGAATGCTACCTACCCCAATGCATAGTGCCAACTGTAAAGTTTGGTGGAGGAGGAATAATGGTCTGGGGCTGTTTTTCATGGTTTGTGCTAGGCCCCTTAGTTTCAGTTAAGGGAAATCTTAAACCTACAGCATACAATGACATTCTAGATGTTTCTGTGCTTCCAACTTTGTGGCAACAGTTTGGGGAAGGCCCTTTCCTGTTTCAGCATAACAATGCCCCTGTGCACAAAGTGAGGTTCATACAGAAATGGTTTGTCGAGATCGGTGTGGAAGAACTTGACTGTTCTGCCCTGACCTCAACCCTATCGAACACCTTTGGGATGAATTGGAACGCTGACTGCGAGCCAGTCCTAATCACCCAACATCAGTGCCCAACCTCACTAATGCTCTTGCGGCTGAATGGAAGCAAGTCCCCGCAGCAATGTTCCAACATCTAGTGGAAAGCCTTCTCAGAAGAGTGGAGGCTGTTATAGCAGCAAAAGGGGGACCAACTCCATATTAATGCCCATGATTTTGGAATGCGATGTTTGACGAGCAGGTGTCCACATACTTTTGGTCATGTAGTGTACATACAGTGCGGGTAGGCTACCTACATTATGAGATTATTATGGATATTGTCAAACGGCAGCCAAGCATCATCATGTCACCAGAATAAGATCCTCGATATTTAATGGAAAGGAGCATCAAGCTCATCACCTTGCACATTCACCACCCTGTGAAGTTCATCATAATTTATTTAATCTGTAAACTAATAAACTGCAAGCTTTCCCGAGTCGTAGTGGGAGGACCCAACTGTTACCCCACACAACATATCATTGCGTGACTCTAAGTTTACTTCGATATGGTGGTTATTATATCAATATTTGCGCATAAAGGTGTCTCCACCTGTCACCTAGGTTGATACATTGCTCTGTTTTCATTTATAAAGCCCTTTTACAAAAATTCCCACAGTGCCTAACATC